AAAAATTAAATAACAAAAGAAAAAGCAATTATACTATGGCGCTTGCGACCTGTGTGGTCTGCACAGCTGGGATGGGTGAGTAGCGGCCCATCATTTCGCGCATTCCACCATAGCGGCCTTCCTCCCAAGCAGGATAATGCGCTGGCACCATGCCACTAGCACCAAAGTCATATTCTCTTCGAGGGCCTACTCGATTCACGAAATTACGATCCGGGACGTAGCCGCCGTATTCCCCGATAACATCCGGGTCGTAGTACATCGGATCATACGGACGAATCGGACCTTTTATTGGAATCTAAAAATAAATAAAGGAACGAACAACGGGATTCAAAAAGCAGCACAAATATCAAATCACTATAGCACGACCAAGCATAGTCCATAAATTGCTCCAAATGATCTCTAACCATTCTATATAGCCAGCACACTTGGCTCGACTTCGAACACCCCTATTAGTCTTAGATTCAAAACTATGAAAAACTAGAAGTGATGCACTCATGCAAATTAGCATGCTTTAAAACAACTCTTAGGAGCCTCCCATTGACAATACGTCAAATTCTATCTTTCCAACGTGCTTTTGCCTTTTAGAACAAAGCATGAAGGTGCTCTTGGCCCTGAATTTGAGTCCATGAATCCAAGTGAAATGACTGGCAGGAACTTCATCGGAGCCAGTCAGCACATCATAAATAAATGTATATCAATAGCGGCAACTACCTCTTTCAGAACGTCGATGATTATGGCGATACAATCCACTATACTGTTCACTTCGCCATTCAGCAGTACAAGTCTCTCAGAGGACTGCGGTGCAGTGCGTGGGAAAACCTTAAAAAAAATGAATTTTTGAAAAAATTGCACATTTTAAAAATCCTAAATTTCAACATCGAGGAACAAAAGCCAGTTGCCGAGGGAAGATGGGAGGCTGGCACTCGACTTGAACAAAAAATGAGCAAATCTGTATGTACCTATTCTACAGCCGTCCAAGCAATCGCAATTGTTTATGGCTAAAATGTATGCCCGTGAGAGCCCTTTAGCACATCAGGACCACTATTAACATGGAGTACTCATTACGCAATTTGGTTAGAACAGATCAACCACATAAGAGAAATAAACAGCGGCGCGCCAGAGTAGCTGGTGCACTCATGCGCTTTGTGCAACCGCAACCAGCTGGCGCATATGGAACTCTGTCCAAGGGATCTTTGCTGTTAAAAATGCCCACTGCATTACTGCTTGACAACACGGAAATCCTTGCGGTTTTGAAGTTAACTCTGGCGCCAAAAGTTCCACTTTTCCATGCCTGAATTCCAGGCATTCACAAGGATTAATTTAAACGCGAGCAGGGAGCATTATTCTGAAATTTCATCACCCTAGTTTTCTGAGTTAGTGATTTTCGCGCTAAAACTTTCATGCGCCCACATGTGAGACCGAGGCGCACGTGAAGGCAGATTTTAAATTTGCAAGAGCTGGGTAGGGAACAATCTTCTAAAATTCAGCCTCCTAGCCTTTTTAGTCCCTGATTTATCAAATCTGGCGCCAAAACTTCCACTTGTCGGTACATGGGATCTAGGCGTATGCGAGGATGAATGAATATGCGGTCAGGAAGCATTATTCTAAATTTTAAAAAACATTATTCCAAAAGGAAGCATTACTCGGCCTCCTTGCTTTTTTCGTTCCCGATTTAATTTTGGCGCGAAATCTTTCATACATCCATACCTGAGATTTAAGCGTATGAAGGGTCTGAGTTTATATGTGGGTGGAAGCATTATTCTGAAATTTCTGCTTACTAGCTTTCATGGCTCTCGAATTATTAATTTTGGCTCCCTAAGTTTCATGTGTCCTTACGTGGGATTTATGCATGCGGGAAAGCTAAATTTGAGTTTGAGGGGCCATGCCCAGGAAAGGAACATTCCTTAAAATTCCAGCTTCCCAGGTTCCCGAGTTAGTAATTTTCGTGGCAAAATTTTCATGTGTCCGCACGTCCAAACCCAAGAGAAAATAACTGGCCAACGCACGGGCTGCCCGTGCAAAGATGCGTTTTTTGCATGCTTCCCCGCAGTTTTTT